TTATAAACTTCTGAAACCTAAGCAAGTTGAAATGCTAAAACAAGCAATTGGCTCGTTTGAACAGAATTTGGACAAAAAAGACCTTTTCTGTGACTGAGGAAGTCAACTTGTGATTTTACTGCATTTGGCTGTCTTCCAAATGAGAGGGTAACAAAGGATGAGGTAACTAGGATGGGAAGTTCTTCTGCATGCAGAAGACTCTACAGACCTGTCATCTTTACACTATCATTTATTTTATCCCATGCAACACTTATCTGCTCAGTAATTCAAACAACTTCAAAGTATCATCAAAAGATTCTTTCAATAATTCTGTGAATCAAAACCTGAAGAATTCTTTTGACATAATACGCAATTTAACTAAAAAGTAGTTAAAGTTCACAGAAAGCCAAGGAAAATATTTAAATGATTGAATAATGATACTATGGATTTATACAGATTAAAAAAAAAAGAAATGAAGAAAGTTTTGCACCAGACTAATATTAAATTCTGCTTAAGCACATCCAATAGTTCAAAAGATTTGAACCATCTGGATTTTGAAGAATCAATTAGAAATTGAAGGTTGTTTACCTTTTTCAAAACTATTTTACTAGCTCACTTCTTGAAGGATTTTATCTTATATTCAGTAATAACATTCCTACATAAAGTTTCTTTAACTAGTTTCAGCATCATAGCTTAGTAGGAGTTAATTAAACCAAAGAAGGCATGAAACTTACTAATGATTAAATCCAGAGGGTGGGCTCAAACTTTTGGCCTATAGTGTATAGTATATAGTATTCCTAAGTCTTTACAAGATTATTATCTTGGGGTCAAGCATATTTTAATGCTGGAGCATAAATTCCACTAAGCCAAGGTACCCCTACAGTATTTCACAATACAAGACTTTATAAAGTGAAAAGTTTGAATTTAGTATAATTGACACATCAAGTTACTGTATCATTATTTGCATTTGTAATTTCAGTTTATATGCTTTTATTTATTGCCATAACTAATGGAAGATGTTAAAATGTATTTAAAATGTATTGTATTTGGTGAAACACTGGCTCTTTACATTAAACATGACAGTGTAGAAATACAAATGGTGATTCTCTTCCTGTCCTTGAGATAGTCATGAAGGTCACTTGACGGCCAGTGAGTGATGTCAGGGGATAGAGTGACAGCCCACAGTGATAGGTTTTACTGGAAAAACTACATGGCCTCATCAGGTTCATAGAGAAACCGCTGTAACTCCATTTTTTCTTTTCAGAAAATGTTACAAGTAAGGTTTCCCTTCTTTACACACTGTTGCATATATGTTATAATTTTTCTGGGTGTAACACATGTCATGTGTATATACAGTGTAACCCGGATATAAGAGAGATTTTCTCTGGTCCCAAATTAGAGCCTGTGTTAATGTATATAAAATAGACCAAACCCGGATATAAGAGACTTCTTCTCCGGTCCCAACAACTCTCTTATATCCGGGTTACACTGTATCTATCTTTGTGTATGACATAGCATTATAAAACTCTGAGAACAAAGTATGTTTTTCATTCTTTTTCCTTTCAGCTATTCCATTCTGTCTGTAAATTATGGTGTTATCACAGATACAGTGTAACCTGGATATAAGAGAGTTGTCGGGACCGGAGAAGAAGTCTCTTTACAGAAATTTTACTCAGCTTTTTTAAGCTGTGTAAAAATTTCTTATTTGAAACAGTACAATTGTAAATACACTCAGATAGCACAATAAATAATAAAATACTAACTAGGTAGGTGAAAAGTGAAAGAGAAGACTGAGAATAGCAAGGATTGAGGAAAGGACTACAGATGAACGGGATTCAAGACAGAAGATGGTGATTGACGTTGCATTTAAATTTTTGAAGATTATAGTTATCAGGGAAGCAAGTAAATAAAAGGGAGTTCCATAAACGGAAAGTGTGAGAAAAAACTGTTGGAGTAGAAGTGGCAGTTGCATTTAACTATTTCAACAGTAAAGGGTGGGAACTAGATGCCAATCTAGTAGCATGCTTAAATTTATGTACTTTTGACACCAGGGAAAAAAAAGCTTGTCAGAGCAGTTGCCATGAAGATATTTTTAGAAAAGATAGAGGGAAGCCAAGTCATATTTGTGAGAAAGTGACTGAAGTCGAGATGCCAGGTCAGGATCGGTTACATTACAGATCCTTCTTTGGATTTTATCAAGATTCTCAGCAGGAAAACCAGACCAGACATAGCAACAGTATTCAATGCACGGGCAAATGGTAGATTTGTAAATGTGCAAGATGGATTCTGACAAGAAAAATTTTCTGACCTGACACAGTGTTCCAACTTTCTATGTAGACAATATTCGTTTCTTTTCATAATTTTTTATTTTCATAATCTATTAATATACAGAAATATAATAAAGTCATAATGTAAATAATGAGATGTAATGTAAATAATGTAAATTTGAGATCAATTCTTAACTTCATCTTACAAAATGATTTTTATTCTGTTTTTTGTAATGGAAAATATTAGATATGCAATACAATGCTGACATAGTAATATGAAAGGGTTAAAGTTCAATTACAAAACTTGAACTCTGACATTTCAGATGTTACTAAAATTGATAGCTTGGATATTGGAGAGATTTCAACAAGTTACGATAAGAACTTTGTATTAAGAAGTGGCCTCAGTGAATAAAAAATTTCTCTCGATATTTTGAAATAAGCATCTACTTAAGGAGGAATAAAATACTTATACTTTCAACTTTATGTTCTAATTAGAATAAACTGAACACTGATTAACATTTTTTATTTAGCATAGTGTCACATAATGCCAAACTGGAAAGAAATAAGAGCTGGTAGATTGTTTGCCCTAATCTTAAAAGTGTGTAGGAGGGAGGGATGCTATGGTTTTATTGATTTTCAGTCTTCCTGTAATATTCTTTGTGTTGTATTTTGGATAATAAAATAAAGCAAAAGTAACTGCTTCAGCCATTTGTATTTAGCTGGAGGTTCTGATTTTATTGGTGGTAATTTGTGTACAATATGACAGGAGAGCCCATTTATCTTAAAAATCAGCATTCAAAATCCTGTTTTTTTTTTGTTTCTTTAACTTGGGTACATATAGCAACTTCTGGTGCAAAAGGGTAATAAACAACTATCTCAGTCAAACAAATTTGGAATTAACAGAAGTATTAATAAAAACTGGGCCACAAAAAAATAAAAAGTAATCAAATTTTGGTTATTAATCAAAGAATGTAAATATTCTTATATAGTTAGTAATTTAAAAAATACTATTAATGATAATTTTGAGAAAAATTATTATCACTAAGTGTTTTCTGGTCATTGAAAGCATTCAGTCTTAGACACCGTTCTCCACAACTTCATCTTTCAAAGTGCACATTTTCATGATTAATTCTCTTAATTATCATATCTTTAGATGACAATTGTTCATTTTGAAAGACATATTCTGACATATTTTTTGAACTAGTTTTAATCAGTTGTTTTACATGTATAGTGACAAATGTATAAGACAATTTGAGAATTTTTTTTTACTTTGAGATGTTTTGCTATGGAACCTATGTTATTAAAAAAAGAATTGTGGTAATTGTCATATTGGAAGAAAATGAGTAACTATTGACACCGAGGTTCGAGTGTGACAATCTGAACTTATGAATATATGTTTTCCACCAGGTATATAAATAGCAGTGTCAGGCTACTGACTGGAGTGATTATTGAGTGGAACTATCCAGTTAAATTAGTGTGAATTATTATGTGTTGATGATTTGGGTTTTGATTAAAAATTTACTGGATGTTAAGCTGAGCCACGCTACTAACAAGGTATTTATTGAAGTGGTTAATTATCTTTGGTTGACTTTTATTTTTGTTCTTGTTTAGTATTTATTTGCAGTTGTAATTAAATACTGTTTTATTTAACATTGAAGTCTTGAGTTATACTTAATTATTAATGGCCACAGTACATCACAAAAGTAATCCTTCAGAAAAGTGGTGTGATATAATGTTAAAGTTCTGCTTCACTTAAACTGCATAAAAGTCATTTTATATCTTTAAATGTCTTTTTATCATAAATATTGCTGTGGCCAATGGCAACTTGGTCATTTGGTATTCAGTGGTATTGAGCAGGATTCAAGAAAGTGTTTCTTAGTGGCAACCAGAAGGAAAACTCTGAAATCCAAATTATGGAGAAGGAAACGGAAAACCACTCTACAAACTTTCCAAAAAATGCATGGTAATTCACAGATAACAGTTTGAGTGATTTGCTTTTTTTTTTTTTTTTTTCTTAGCTTAACCCTTTTTGGATTATTTAATGCCAAAACATATTTTGGATTGTAAGAATAATTATTTTTGTTTGCAAGTGAATATTGTATACAAGTCCTACTGTTTAACCCATAGATGAAAGAGTGGAAAAGTTAAAAATCAGTGGTTGAAAGACTGGCGATGGTTATAGAATGTCAAGTAGTCCATATTAAAGTTAAATAATTCAGGTGTACGAGATATTGTGTTAACCAAATGTTTCTGTGGCCAATCTCTTCCGGATTTTTTTTATAAATAAAGAAATCTATGTTGTGCATTGTTTGCTTAATAAAACCTAATACCAATCAAACAAGTTATTTTTAATAAGGATAAATATTAAAAGCTGAAACTTGCATGATATATTGTTCATATAAATATATCTTTACCAACATTGATTGTGGAATATCAATTCTATAGTGAAAACATTAACTTGCATAATAAAATCTGACAAACACATTTGACTGATTCATTTTCTATGGTTTATCAACTCTTTGGGGTTATTTAAAACCAGAAAATATTTTTAATTGTAAGAATTTTTTTTTTTATATATAATAATTTAGTGATACAAATCTTACTAAACAACCCATAACTGGGGGGAGAAGAGGTGGCTTCATACCTTTCTCAAGGGTATTTGCACATAAGTGAGTATAATGAACCCAACTGGAATTGGAACTCTCCGATTAACAATTTCTAGGCATCATCCATTACAATATCCACACATCCAAGCTTACAGCATCTGGAATTCCCAAGTGGTTACCCATCTAGGTACTGACCAGACTCAACATTGCTTAACTTTGGTGATTGTACAGGAGCTGGTGATGTGTCCGTAAGCCTACATGTATAAGACAATTTGGTAAGCTTTTACTTTGACGTGTTTTGCTAAGGAACCTATGTTATGAGAAAAAGAATTCTGGTAATCCTTCATGTAAACAGTGTAAAATCTGTCAAAGTACTGCTTTATAATAGGAAGTACTGCTTTGTAATAGGAAGTAGTGGTTCTTTTCAGCACTCATACATCCAAGCTTATAACGGCTGGAATTCCCAAGCATCAGAAAGACAGCTATTTTATGACTAGAAGGTAATTGTAAGAAAATGTTTAACATTTTTCTGTACATAATATGGAGAAATGCTTCTCTGTGATGGTGAGTAATAAAATAAATAAAAATAGGATTAAACAAAAGTAATCTTCTCAAAGGAGAACAAAAGATTTTACAGATTATCTTTACAAGCAGTCAGACTGCTTTTACATCATCTGTGATGATCAAGTGAGCTTTTAGTCAGTCCTATGGATAAATTAATGTTTCGCAATCTGTGAAATAATAAATTCCTAATCTGATGTTAAATAAGAACAATAAAAATATTTTTTATATTCAAGATGAAAAATAATACATTATCTTTCAAAAGTTGAAGCAAGAATTCATAGGGACCATTAATTCTTTGCAACGTGGAGCAGTAATTTTTTGTAATAGGAAGTAGTGGTTCTTTTCAATGTGAATGGAGTCAAAATTTTTCTAAATAAAAAAAAAAAAAAAACCATATTTTTCAGTGTATAATACGCACTTTTTTACCTTAAAATTTAAGGTCAAAATCTGCTTGCATTCTATACACCAAATATATATATATATATATATATATATATATTACTTAAATATGATTTTTAGTGGATACCCATATTTAAGTAGATGCTCCTCCGTTTTGTATTTATAAGGCACTATTCAACTTTGCTTGATTGGTGATGCACTCTGTGGCAGAGTCAGCATAAACACGTCAGATCTAATGATGGTTTCTGTCAAGGGAGATGCATTTTTGAGTCCTGCCAGAGAATATATATTTTTCTTTAATAAGATTTCCTGAATATTCAGGATTGAAAATAAAGCATCTACTCAAATATGGGCATCCACTAAAAATAATATGTCAGTAATAAAATCTGTCTGATTAATAAATAAAATAAAATATATGAGGGTCATTCATAAAGTTCTAAACTTCACCGAAAAAGATGAGCCATAACTGAAATTTTTTGTTGTGACAGTTCACAGCCACTTCTAATTCAGGTTTCTGTCTTAATTTATGTGCAGGTAAGGCCCATACAAAGGTGAGAGATGTGTAAGTATCTGCAAAAGGAAGGTATGATACCAAAAGAAATAAATGGGGACTTGGTATCCACACTTGCTGAGGACTCCTTTTCCTATGCAGCTGTCAAAAAGTTGGCTGTGGAATTCAAGCAAGGCAAGGACAACACAGAAGATGACTCTCAGTCAAGTCATCCAAAAACCTCAACCACTGATGAACAAGTTGATGCCATTCACCGTATGGATTTGAATGACAGACGTCTTACTGTCTGGTAGGTAGGTAGGTAGGTAGGTAGGTAAATCTAGAGGCATTAGTTTAGTTTGATCCATTATGTTTTAACCGAGATCTTCAGGATGAGCAAGCTGTCTGAAAGATTCGTCCCAAGAATGCTGACACCAGAGCAGAAATTTAAAACAGTTGACATTTCCAGGACACTTCTTACTAGCTTCCAGGCTAACTCTGAGAATCTCCACTGCAGATTAGTAACTCAAGATTAAACCTGGGTTCACCACTTTGATTCAGATTCAAAGATTTAAAAAAAAAAAAAAAAATAGAAAAAGTAGAAACACTGGTTTTTCATCCCTGAAAAAGTTCATGTAAGTAGCATCTGTTAGCAAGGTGATGATTTTTGTTTTTTGGGATTCTGAAGGCATAAAGATGATAGTTTTTTCCCCTTTTCCAGGTAGTCTATTAATGGATAGTACTATGCATCAGAATTAAGACAACTGAAGCAAGCAATTAAGTCAGAATGCAGAGAGAACCTGAGGGCAGGCATACTCTTGCTCCAGGATAATGCACCTGCTCACACTGCTCAGGTTGCAGTAGCTGAAGCAGCCAACTGTGGCTTTGAATTGTTACATTATCCTCCTTATTCACCAGACTTAGCTCCATCTGACTTCATCCTGTTTCCTAAACTCAAATTCCACATGCATGGTTGCTATTTTGGAAATAATGATTTGATGTGGAAGAGTTTTTGGAGGACCAGAACACCATCTTCTTCCATGATGGGATTGCAATGTATAAGCATCGTTGGCCAAGTGCATTGATGTCAAGGTGGACTATAAGGAAAAATAGTGTAAAACTGTTTTGTTTCTCAAAGTCCTGGGTAAGGCTTAGAACATTTTGAATGACCCATGTGTGTGTGTGTTTGATATACACAAACCATGTATATAGATATTTAAATAGGAATGGTTGAGTTCACTTGAATGTTTTACTTATAACAATAGTATGGATTTCAAATGAGAAATGCACATCACAAATCAGAGTGATTAATGCAGTTAATGTCATTAATCACCTAATTGATATTTCAATTTTCATTGGGTACTGAGCAAAACTGTCTTCAAAATAAGGATGTGTCTTATACACTGATGAGCCTTATATTCTGAAAAATATGGTAATATTTAACAATGTGAAATAAGTTGTAAGTTTTTCAAATTAAAATTAACCTTATTAGTGAAATGTGCCATAAAAGTAACTTCATTTGAATGATGTTACTTTTATGGTACATTTTATATTATATCATCTTTTATATTATATTTTAAGCAATTAGTAAAAGTTTTAATCAGAAATTATTTCTTATTACATTAAACATTATACTTAGTGCATCTACATTGGAGTAGACATCAGTGTTGTTAAAGAGAATATGCCTCTTGACAGGAATCAAACTTATGTCCTATTTTTAATCTGAGAAACCACCTTCAAGCCAGGTATGTTTTACCATTAAGCTATAGGAAGCTATTATAGTAAAACAAGGTTCAATTAATTTATTTAATAATGCATATCTAAATTTATATCTGCTATTTTGTTTTCATTTTGGGCGTGAAAATAAAAGTAATTTTTAAGAAATTAATGGTGTATTTTTTAATGTAACAGTGTTTCTTATAACTAACTAAATGCAATGTCAATTGCTATCTACTGTTCTGATTACTCTTTTGTTCTTGCTCCTTAGTAATGTTTCTGCTTTCTAATCCTTTCACACCCAGTAACCCCTTTGTATCTTAGTGGCTTTACTGACTTGTGTGGGGTGAAATCGATTAAAAATAAACAAAAAAATTTTTTCAAAACTGTGTTTGAACACTGACCCTTGGCATCATTGTGAAGACTACAACTACTTCAACCACTAAGTATTATATCAATTACAAGTTTCTCAATTTTATGAAGGCAGTCTGGAATGAGAAAAGCATCCCCAAAAAGTGGGGTTTATCATGCATTAACGCACTATGGAAACAAAAAGGTGTCCTCAAGACCCACACACACAGTGGTATCTCAGTTGGATCCATTATGGAGAAAGCAGTAATGGACATTATATTAACTAGGCTCTTATCACTCTATAAAAGCCAACTACTTTGTTTTTGTTCTAGTGAGGGATGCTGGCAAATGTCATCAAACTCTAGGAAATAGCATACCTCTTTAATAAGTAATTGTATACCTGCTATATTTTGACATCATTGCATATGACCACACCAATAGAGACTTCCTTTTTTCATCTATTAGAAACCACCCTCCAAGTTCCAAATCCACTGAATACCTTGATCTCATAGAATCTTATTGGTTCACAAAATACAGAAACATATCAAACCTCATCAAGAGTACTACAAGTTAGAAATGAAAGCTCCAGTCTATTTAATCTTTTCCTAAACTATATCCTGGACATTTACAAGCACAGATAGGAAGAGAAAGGCACCAATCATTTAAGCATTCCATACAACATCCTAAAGTAAATCAATTAATAGTGATTCTGTTTTCCCTCCTGAGGCCTGATCAGGTGGTGGGTATGCTGATGACATAGGGATTCATACAAAAAAAAAAAAACCCCCAAAAAAACACAATATTCTCTATCAAGTGTTCCTAAAAAATAGGACTCAAAATAAACATTTTCAAAACAGAAACTATAACCTGGAATTATAATAGAAGCAGTGATGGCACCTACCCTGGATCCATCATAAAAATCCAGTTTGTGAAATTAGTAAATTTCAAACACTTTAAATACTGTGATGTATGAATCAGTTATAACAAATAGAGAAATAAGGAAAATGAACATAGAATAAGCTGCTAGGGGTAGTTTTGCTCAACACTGGAAATTGATATGAAGCCAAAACATCAACCTGAAAACTAAAGTCATGTTCTTAAATAGCCTTGTCAAGTTGAAACTTTTATATGGATGTTATGCATGGTGCTAAACCTGTTATATCTAAATATCTACATCTTTGTGCAAATTAATTGAAACAAAATGAATAATTCCATTATTATTTACTTTTTTTTCATATTTTTCCAATGAAACATAACCCAGTGCACATGTTAGTATTTTGTATGTTTATTCCATGAAGTCATTCCTTGCAGATTGACCACAGATTCTTGATTGGATTTAAATCTGGAGAGTTTCTGGGCCAGTCTATAATACTTAGATTTGCTCACTGGTAAGGATTGCCAGCGTGTTTGTGCAGGGTTACAATTTTTGTATGCTTCCTTGGAGTAACATCCATCGCAGACAATGGCTGTAGGACAACTAAATCGACAGTGGCTGGGCGTGATGAAAATCTGATGCACTCATGGTTGACACAATATTTTTCAAGGCCAAACAAATTTCATCATACACTCCGAAAATAAATTCATATTACTGCACACCACTGCAAATAACCTAATCTGAAGAAAAAATAGAAATCATAACACCATGTCACCCCAGTGGGTCTAAAACTGACTGTATGGTGAAAAAAAAAAAAAAAGAAAAAAAAAAGGAAACTAAAGCAGTTGTTTTAATTAATTTGCACAAGAGTATAAACTGTCAGTTATATACAACCACTTCTAAGATCAATGGTTAAAAATGGCTTTGAGCAAGTGAAGCCTGTGGATTTTATCAAAGACCATTGTGAACTGGCATTATAGACTCACAAACAAAGAACTAAATAACAGAAGCCATATCACTTAAGACTTTCAACAGTAGCAACAACTAAAATAGATAGATATCACATTTAACTTCAAGAGAAAACATGGCATAATCAACATGTTAACATTCCACACTATTTTAAACAAAAAGTTAGGAAGACGAACCCCCCCTCCATATCAGTATTGTTTCCTGAAAAATTGTTTTATGAGAAAGATTTTATAAATTTCAACTGAAAGAAACACTGGCTGCTCAGTCAATGAATGTCAAATGTTTCTTTATAAGGAAATGGCTAATACTGTCATTACCATTACCATCTATGGCCAGATGGGTGGTAGGAGAGAGTCCTTGCTGGCCATTAAAAAAGAGCTTATCCATAAGTCTGCTATGACAGAAGTAGCAGAAGTTGTTCCAAGTATTACCTACCTACCCAGATCGTACAAGCTAAACCCTAAACAACATGTAGGAAACATGATTTTCATTTGTCATGGTGTCATTTCACATTGTATTACCTTTGTGAATGTATTATGGGCCTTTCCCAGTTTTGGTACACACTAATGTGAACAAGAATTTAGACAATATGAGATTATTTGTCTAGTTGGTGGAAACCTGAGAGAGAGAGAGACCAATTCTGCCAAGAATAGCTTGTTATTGCAACAAATGCCTACAGCTAAACAGAGGAATGACAGAGTAGTGATAAAGTCAGTGATCTTTGCCTGAATATGACAGATTCAAATGTAATCTTACTTATTATAAGACGCAGATTGTGTGTGTGTGTGTGTGTGTGTGTCTGTACGTTTATATATTGGATCGGATTTCCTACATTTTTCAACCGATTTCAGCAAAACTTCACAGGACTACGTAAAATTACCTTGTGGTGGTTCTAACAGTGGCAAAAATTGGAAAAACAATTGTTTTTGCACGAAATCAATTTGAAAACATGATTAAGAGGCATCATGAGAATGAAAGGGGACAACTCATATCGAGTTATACTTATTATAAAACCCAGATTTGTGTGTGTGTGTGTGTGTGTGTGTGTGTGTGTGTGTTTGTTTATATATATTGATCGGATTTTACATTTTTCAGAACAAAAACTTCCTTTTTTTTTTTTTCAAAATTCCACTTTTCTTTATTTTTTTCAAGCTTTCAAAATTCCATTTACAAGACAATTGTTTATAATAAAATTCTATTCAATCGGTAGACTCATAACGATTGAAAACAATGTTTTTGTTTGAGTTTGGGTTTTACCAATTCATAACAAAAAAAAAAAAAAAAAAAAAAAACTAATTAAGACATGCATGTTCGTCAACCTTAAACAATAATCTTTGTCAATTTTATTTTTCAGTCTTTATAATGGTCGATACTTGATCTATCTATTACTGTTATATCCCCGGGCAACACCGGGCTCTACTGCTAGTTGGTACTAAAATACAATAATGATTATTTATTTTTGAAATTTTTCATAATGGGGTACTCTTGTGCCAGCATGATGAAATAATTTCCTTCCATTTCACCTACTCTGCATTAATATGGTGCTCATTTAGTAAGTCACACTTATTTTTCAAAATATTTCCCAACACCATTATCTGAACAGGCACATTTATTAAACTTGTATATAAATTTCCTTTGGAATGGGTTTACAGCGACATAATGTTGAAACACCATTTCTCATAAGATCACAAAAGTTAAGCAACACCAAGCCTGGTTAGTACCTAGATGGATAACTGCTTGGGACTAGCAGGTGCTGTAAGCTTAGATATGCAGGTGGTATAATGACTAATGACTGAATTGTTAATTGGAGAGCCAGGTTCCAATTTCAGTTGGGTTCATTATATTCACTTACAAAAGGTAAGTATCAACCTCTTCTCTCCACCAGCTATGGGTTAATTAGTATCATTAATTTATGTCACTAAACTATTATTTAAAAATGAATAAAAATAAAAACTTCTTACAATCTAAAATATTTTCTGACTTTAAATAACCTGCAAGTGGTTGATAAGCTGTAGAAAACAAATCAATCAATCAAATCCTTTGGAATGTTTATTTGAAACTAACACAATAATTTTATGGTTTGAAAAATTACCACTGGCATGACTAAGTGTCCTTCTCTCCTCAGTATTTCTCAATGTAAAATTGTAACCAGCATTTTTTGTATTTCTTTCTCCCCACAACAATACAGAAAATTCATAGAAAAAATTCATTATTAGTCTTAAGTCCTTCCTAGGGACAAAACAATTTTTTTTTTCCATTTTGTTATTCAATTCCTCACTATTAGTCAGATATATAGATCTACCTATCTTCCAAGAAGCTTTTTTGTAAAACAAATGGGTGGGTGGTATTTCTGTTTCAAATATGGTGAAATGTCACTTGAAAACCAGTTATAATCTAACTGACATCCAAGAAGGTGAAATCATGAAAATATTCACTACACAATCAATGACAATCATTGTTGGACCATTGATGTGACATCTGATGTGACTGGCTTATCTTTAAAGTTCATGTCTGTGAATAGGAAACAGAATTTATAAGTTTTTGCAAAGTTTTGTTTGCTCATGACTAAAAAATCATGAATGTGGGCCACAATTTGAAGTTCAAAATGATCCACTTTGTTTGTATAGACTCATTTAAGTAAATGTAAATGTTAATGTATTTAATAAATCCTACCCATGATAGCAGAAGAAGCAGAAAATTTTTGTTAGAAACAAAGAAAAATTTGTTGAACTATTACATAATATCAATCCTCTTATATGCCAGTGGATTCTGGACTTCTCGCAGCTGACAAAGAGACTTGAGGCAAGAGAAATGGGGGTTCTACAGAAAGATATTTAGAATAGCATGGACTGAACATTTAAGTAATAAGGAAGTTTTAAGGAAATAGAAACAAAGAAGATGCTTATACTTAAAATGAGAAAGAGATAGTTGAAATTTCCTGGATACATGAGGAAGGAGGGCTTGGAGAACCTGACACACAGAATATAGGAAAGGTAAAAGGGACAGAGGAATTCAGCAAATAATCTAACAAGCTTGTGTAAGTGGATGGCAAAACAGAGAAAGGGAGGAATGGTGAAAAGAGAAACCTTACTAAGAGTTAGGAAGTTGTGGAGAGACATGATCATCTGTGTCATGCAGGGATATGGTCCATAGAAGAAAGCAAAAATTACAGGAACAGTAAATTTGATTATAAAAACTGACCCCAAAAATGCAAGACATTTTTCAGTATGGATTGTACTTATATCTCTTCTACTAGATGAAAACTTTGCATTTTAAATGGAGCATTACAGGTCTTGTAATATGCTACTTAAGTAAGACTCCTAGCCAAATGCATATAAATTGCAGTTTGCAGGCCACTGCCACTGAGCTAACAGGGAGGTTGTCTCATTCTTACTCCTATGACATCCTTTTGGAGGTGTCTTCTCATGAAAGTTGACTTTCCCAAACACCATGGCTTGGAACTCAGGGTGGGACAATAGGAATCTGCAGACAGCAATGCAGGACTGAGCATTGGGGAAAGTAATTGTTCATGGAGTTCCGACCATCCACAGGGAGGTCAAAGCATGATAATGACAATGAAATGTATATTCTAAAAAAATTGAGAAATTCTTTAACCATTATCTTATGTCTACAAAATGAAATTCTACAGCATTTTAAATGTCATATAATCTTCATACATTAAATCCATTAAATGGTTTAATCTTAGAATTATAAATGGAATGGATAAATTAATAGTAAACATCAAGGAAAAAAAAAACCCTCAAAGAAACTATACTTGATATGTATTCATTGCACATTCTTTGGTTAATGTATTCCACTCACATGAAGTGGAAAGCTTATATTGAATCAATTACTAAGTCTGCTGATGAAGTTGGTTCACTGTGTCATGCTAGACAATTTTACTTGTCAGAATTTATCTTACATATTTATAAGTCTACCATTCGTCCTTGCTCTAAATATTGTTGCCACATCTGATCTAGTGCTCTTGCTATATATTTAGAGATTCTTGATAAAATCCAAAGAAAATTCTGTAATGATAATTGTACTGACCTGGCATAATCACCTCCAGTCACTTTCCCACTGCAGTACTGTAGCTTACCTGTGCCTTTTCTATAAATACTTTTATGGTAATTGTTCTGATGAACTTTCTTCTTTGGTACCTAGACTACGAATTTAAATGTAGTTCTAATTGAAATGGCTAAACATAACCATAAGTTCTAGGCTAACAGTTTCTTCTATCACGCTTCTTGCTTGTGGAACTTTCTGACTTCTTGCTTTCCAGTCAACTTTGATATTCAAAAATGTAAATGCAATGTCAATTGTTATCTTTTGTCTTAATTCTTGTTCTTTTATTGTTCTCCTTAGCACTCAGTAACACCTTGCATTTTAATGGCTTTATTGGGGTGAAATGATTAAAAAAAAATTCTTAACTATCTTATTTAAATTTTAAAGTTTAAAATTCTAAGTCTTTTTAAACATCTTTATTAGATATCTGTCTGAATTTCTGAGATTAGGAGTTATTATTTACACTATTTACATTCAGACTATTGTCCTAATCTTTGTTGTTGTTATCACAAAGTTTTGGTCATTGTGCCATTTGGACTTCATCAGGCACATATCAATCTATGTTGATTTGAGTCTATAGGAATGATTGAAGAAAAAAAACAAAACAAAAAAAAAAACATCCAATCTTCTTCATCAATTTATAGACATAAAGATACATTCTGGGATTTCTTCCTAACCAAATAAAATGGACCACTTCTTGGTATATATTTTTGTTCTTTCTTGTCTTTCAGTCAGAACACTATAATCACTTGACTGTATTCCTTTTGACATCATTCTTTGGTAAAATTTTGCCTTATTTCTGATGCTTTACCCAATTTTGTCTTGTATATATTGTTTGCCTAGTATCAAAAATATAAAACCTCTTATAAAGACTAATTTTATTTTATTTTTTTTAAAAAGTTACCATTTTCAATATGAACCAAAATAAACATAATTTTCCATAAACATTATGTGTTTTCATTATGGTAATTGTTATGGGTGCTTTGACAGGGAGTCATTTCTCATTATTGCAAACCTTATTTTTAGTGGATACATGTTTGAGTAGATGTCCTCCTTTTTATTATTAAAAAAAATAAATAAATAAATTAAAGTATGACTACATTTTCTTTATTGAGTCTCTCAAATGTGCAGGCCAGTCTTCTATGTGATGTGTCTCTCAAAGACATTGGTGATCATAGTTTGAGATTTACTTTAACCCCTCTACTCAGTCAGGTTGTGACACAAGGTTGTTTTTTAATGTGGAGACCAGAGTGTTTCAAATCAGGCCACTAGTCTAAGCTGGTCTTAGCTTGTCAAAGCTGGTCTTTGCTGGTCAGAGCTTGTCACAGTTGATCATACCACCACTATGTAACAGATGTAACGCAATGGTGGGGAGAATGCAAGGGAGGAGAGAAGGTCTCTGGCATGGTACAGATACTCCAACCTCAGCATCTACTCTGATGGGAAAAAATTCCATTCTCCTCCTCTGCCAACCCTCCCAGAAGAATCTGGAAGGAAAGCTCTTTGGCAATCATAGCTCTCTACAATTTTCTGCTACTTGTAGCTCTTAATAAATTTTGCCTTTTTGTTATCTCTCCTAAGCCTTACTCCACCATCCATTTACTCAAGCTTGCTAGGTAGGCTATGTGTTGTTTTCCTCTGACCCTCTTGCTTTCACTCTTTTGTGAGTATCAGATTTTCCAGGCCCTCTTTCCTCATTATGTACTCTAGAAATTTCAACTATCTCTTTCTGATTTTGAGCATGTGTCCTTTTTGTTTCCATTTTCTCAAAAACTTTGTCATTGCTCACATGTTTAGTCCATGATATTCTCAGCATCCTTCTGTAGAACCATTTTTCTGTTAGTTCAAGTCTTTTTATATTAGTATAGCTACTCTAACATGTGTATTCACTAAAAATATTGTTTACAATAATGTGAAATAATATCAGAATAAAAATAAAATCCATTAATTTTTTGGAAATTACAGGGGAGAATGGTTAGTGAGTTTGGTTGACCATTACTACTGAGCAGTGATTTTGCTCCTAACGGAGTGACATAATTTTGGCCTTGTATCAATGTTAGTAGATAACAACTTTGGGCACATTAATTACTAATTAATGAGTTTGATCCCCACTAGGTGCTCTCATACTAGTGACCTTATGCCAAACTAAATTAAGATCAGTAAATAGCTTTGAGCACTTCAGCATGGGTTAATGTCTAGTAATCTAATTTGGTTGACAATTACTACAGAGTAGCGAGTTTGGTACAAGGGCACCTAGTGAGGATCAAACTAAACTAAGATTAGTAAATGGGCACCACTGCATGGGTTAATATTTAGTAATCTAATTTGGTTGACATTTACTAGAGTAGCGAGTTTGATCCTCACTGGGTGCCTTCATACTTGTAGCCTTGTGCCAAGCAAAGCTAAGCTACATGGAAAATAATTAGTATGTGCAAAAGTTTCCAGAGAATTGTTATAAAGATTAGTTAATTAATATGCTGACTCCATAGACTTCCAGTGGAGTATAGAGCCACAGTCTCACTACACTAGGATCACAGACTCAGTACACCAGGTGTTGCTGCTGTGGTTTCTGTAGCATGTAAGTTTTTACAGAGCAGACTTGCTAGATGAAACAGTTTTGAATTCATAGTTGTCTTTTTCCGAGATAGGCTTTCAGTCAAAGCTAGAGAGTACAGTCTACTCTTATTTAATACCT